GGGAATATGGGAATGGGAACATGATCCCGATCTCATCATACACCTGACTGTAGAGCTCCTGGGAACGGGAATATGGGAACATGGGAATATGGGAATGGGAACAGGAATGGGAATATGGGAACGGGAATGGGAATATGGGAATGGGAATGGGAACAGGAATGGGGACTGGAAGAGGAACGGGGAACAGGAATTGCCCAGAATGGCAGGAATTGCCCGGAAAAGCGGGAATTTTCCGGAAAAATGGGAACACGGACCTCGTCGCGTTTCTTGGAGCCCAGGAAGTGBCGCGCCACGTGCTCCGGGAGCATGTTGGCCACCAGGGCCTCGTTCCAGCGCCGCATCTCGGACACGCGCTCCTTCTGCTCGTGCACCTCCATCTTCCACAGGAACTGCGTCCGCGCCAGTTTCTCCACCTGCAACACCGGAAACACGGAGATGTGTGCTGCGGGAGAGGGGACAGACCCGGAATGGGGTCGGGTCAGGGGGTTTGGGATGGGGGCGGCTACGGGGTGGGATTGGGATTGGGATTGGGATTGGGATGGGGATTGGGATTGGAGTTGGGTTTGGGCTAGGGTTGGGATTGGTATTGAGGTTGGAATTCAGCTGGGTTTGGGTTAGGGTTGGGATTAGGATTGAGATTGGGGTTGGGTTAGGATTGGGATTCGGATTCAGATTGGGGTTGGGGTTGGGGTTGGGTTTGGGTTAGGATTGGAATTGGTGTTGGGGTTGGAATTGGAATTGGGCTTGGGATTGGGGTTCGGGTTGGTTTTGGGACGGGGATTGGGGTTGGGGTTGGTTTTGGCGTTGGGTTAGGGTTGGGATTAGTATTGAGATTGGGGCTGGGGTTGGGTTTGGGTTAGGATTGGAATTGGTGTTGGGGTTGGAATTGAAATTGGGTTTGGGATTGGGGTTCGGGTTGGTTTTGGGATTGGGATGGGGATTGGGCTTGGGTTTGGGTTAGGGTTGGGATTGGGATTGAGATTTGGGTTGGGGTTGGGTTTGGGTTAGGGCTGGGATTACGATTGAGATTGGGGTTGGGTTTGGGTTAGGGTTGGGGATTAGGATTGAGATTGGGGTTGGGTTTGGGTTAGGATTGGAATCGGTGTTGGGGTTGGAATTGAAATTGGGTTTGGGATTGGGGTTCGGGTTGGTTTTGGGATTGGGATTGGGCTTGGGTTAGGGTTAGAGTTGGGATTAGGATTGAGATTGAGGTTGGGTTAGGGCTGGGATTAGGATTGAGATTGGGGTTGGGGTTGGGTTTGGGTTAGGATTGGAATCGGTGTTGGGGTTGGAATTGAAATTGGTCTTTGGATTGGCGTTCGGGTTCGTTTTGGGATTGAGATTGGGATGGAGATTGGGTTTGGGCTTGGGTTAGGGTTGGGATTAGTATTGAGATTGGGGTTGGGGTTGGGGTAGGGGTTGGAGTTGGGTTATGACTGAATTGGGGTTGGGATTGGGATTCAGTTGGGTTTGGGTTTGGGACTGGAATTGGGGTTGGATTTCAGTTAGGGTTAGGGTTGGGATTAGGATTGAGATTGGGGTTGGGGTTTGTGTTGGGTTTGGGTTAGGGTTGGGGTTGGGACTGGCGTTCAGTTGGGTTTGGGATTGGGCTTGGGTTAGAGTTGGGTTTGGAATTGGGGTTGGCATAGGAGTTGGGATTGGGGTTGGGTTTGGGTTGGGGTTTGGGACTGGGGTTGGTTTAGGGTTGGGATTGGGGTTGGTTTGAGGTTAGGGTTAGGGTTGGGATGGGGATTGGGTTTGGGGTTTGAGTTTGGGTTAGGGTTGGGATTAGGGTTGCGATTGGGGTTGGGATTGGGATTGGGGTTTGGATTAAGGGTGGCATTGAGATGGAGATTGGGTTTGGGTTAGGATTGGGGTTTGGATTGGGATTAGGGTTGGAATTGGGATTGGGGTTGGGGCGGTGAGGGAGTGGGATTGGTCTCGGAATTCCCCTTGGGAATTTCCTCAGAGAGGACTCCGGGGTGATTGGGGTGGGCTGAGATAAATTCCAGGTTCCTGGAGATTCTGGGGAATAACAAGAAGGATTTGGGGAAAAGGGATTTGGGAAAGGGATTTGGGGAAAAGGGAAGGGAAAATGGAAAAAGAGGGAGGAAAAAGGGAAAAAAAAGGAAAAAAATTGGAAAGGAGGAAGGGGGAGGAAGAAGGAAGAAAAGGGAAGGGAAAGGGAGGGAAAAGGATGAAAAAAAGGGAGAAAAAGAAGGAAAAAGAAGGAAAAAGAAGGAAAAAGAAGGAAAAAGAAGGAAAAAGGAAGGAAAAAGGAAGGAAAAGGGAAAGAAAACAGAAGGAAAAGGGAGAAAAGTGAAGAAAGGGAATAAAAAAATAGGGAGGGAAGAAAAAGGGAAGGAAAAGAGAAGGAAAAGGGGAAAAAGGAGAGGAAAGGGAAAGGGAAGGAAAGGGGAAGAAAACAGAAAAGAGGAGAAAAAGAGAGGAAAGTAGAGGAAAGAAGAGGAAATGGGATGAAAAGAGATAAAAAGGGAGGAAAGGGAACAGAAAAGAGGGAAAAGGAGGGAAAAGGAGGCGAAAGGGAGGGAAGGAGCCGCACTCACGTGCCGTGAGAAGTAGTAGAAGCTGAGCATCACCGTGACGGTCATGGCCGTCATGGAGTACTTGGAGGGCACCAGCACCGACCTGCGGCAGCCACACAGTGTGTCCGGGGAGGCTGGGGACAGCCCTGTCCCCTCCCTGTCCCTGTCCCTGTCCCCG